AAGGCAGACAGTCCTTCAAGATTCCTGCTTTACAGAAGAATCTGCCAGATATTCTGCAAGGCACCGAGGAAAGCATCTGAAGAACTTTGATAATACAAGGCAAGACAGCCCTTCAAATTTCCTGCTTCACTGAAACAAGCCTACCAGATATTCTAGGCTTGTAGGCTGAAGATGGATATCCCAACACTGCAAAGGAACTTTGGGTGACTGTTCAGGCAGCCAGATGTCTTTGTTATGAGGTAATATAATATTACATCCTTCTGAGGTCTTTGATGGAGTAAAAGACTAGATAGGAGTTATAGTTTCCTTATTTATAATAGAAAGTAAATTAGGTATAAAACTTTGGAATCACTAAGATAAGATGGACAATGGAGTATTTCCTCTGATTTTGCTAAATACTAATGTACTGGATATTCTAAATATAATTCTTATTTGATAACTCTCTTTGTTGTGTATAGTTTTCCTATGTTAGAGTTAAACCTTTCATTTTTATTTAGACAAAAGGGTGAATTGTTGTGGAATATTAATTTAAGATGTATTACATTCATTCATGCTATGGAATATTTGTTTAACGATGCAAAGATATATTGCATTCTTTTATGTTGCATTTGCTTAACTATGTAGAGGTATGTTACTTTGCCTGCATAAACATGTGATTGGTCTACTAAAGAGCTGAATAGCCCATAGCTAGGCAAGAAAAAAGAAATAGGTGGGGCTGGTGGGCAGAAAGAATAAATAATAGGAGAAATCTAGAGAAGATGGGAGCAAGAAAAGGAGGAGAGGAGGATGCCATGGGCCAATCAGCAACAGAGCCAGTCATGAGTAAGAAGGAAAGGAAGGCATATAAGAATAGAGAAAGGCAAAAGCCCAGAGGAAAGGGTAGATGGGATAATTTAAGTTAAGAAAAACTAGCAAGAAACAAGCCAAGCTAAGGCTGCATATTCATAATTAAGAATAAGCCTCCATGTATTTATTTGGGGGCTGAGTGTCAGGCCCCCAAAGAGCAAATAATAAAAAAAAAACCAACTACACACTAGAGAGGCCCAGTCCAGATAGCCAGGTCTCTCGTAAGATCATTCTCCATCTATTAAACAATAGTGATTATTCCCTTCCCAGTGTCTGTCACAATGGCACAGATATGCTCTCCCCCTGCATCAGGAAGTGTTTGAAATAGTATGCTCACTGTTTTTTATTATTTGTGTGTGATGTGTTTGTGAGTATACTCATAGACATGCATGGCAGTTAGAGGATGATTTTGTGGAGTCAGTGCCCTCCTTCAGGCTTTTTGTGGGTTCCAGGGACAACTCAGGTTGTTCCTGGGCTTGCTCAGAAAGCCCTTTTAACTGTGGAGACATCACACTGTCACTAAAAATGGTACATCCATTTCCTAGCCTCTTAGCAACCTACTATTGCTTCATACATACTCGATCAAATTCTTCAGTTGAATAACTGATTGGTTATTTCAGGTTCCTCCTAAATCAACAATCCCATTAGCCTGGCATTAACTGAAGTTGCCATTATGCAAATTATGAAAGCAAAGAACTACTAGTTTGTGCATTACTCACATGTACATCAGGAATGGGTTTTGTTAACAAAGAAACTCCCAGAGTAGCCAACACAGACACGGAAAAGAGAATGATGGCATAATATAGATAGTGCACTCCACAGATGATCTTGGGACAGTTAGTGGTGACCAGGCAACTCCCTGTCCCATAAGAAAACTCTGCAATCATACGGATAAGGCCCATCACAAGTCCAACCATCAGACCCCAGAATGCACCCTGTTAAAAACAAAACAGGAACACAACCAAGAGTGCTTAGGAAAAATGAGACACTCATTCAGGTAAGTCATTATTAATTACTACAATTTTATTAGGTAAGGACCAACAAACTGGGATAATTGCAAATACAAACTATCAGTGAAAGTTGTCCTCTGTGGTCTTGAAATACCATCACACTGTCGACTGTCCAACCATAGGACTCTACTGCCCACACTGACCCAAAATGAAAAATTTCCTGATATGTCTTTTATATATAGAATAAAAGCTTGTGCTTTATTTTGGAGAATAAGTAGAATTATGATATTCATGCTACACAATTTGAAAAGCTAAGAAATCACTAGACACTAAGTGCTATATGAATCTGTCACTTGCCTGAAAATCACATAATATAGTAAACAACTAGAGACACATAAAGGATTAGACATATAAAGTAAAAAGATGAACTATTTCCACCACAATAACAATGAACATATTTTAATTTTTTACTAGCTTTTAAAAAGTATTTGCTATACTATCTCATTTGATCCTCTTAACAACTCCTATAAAGTAGTCACTATTATCATCTTCATTGGACAGAGTGGAGTTATTTGCTTCACATCAGTATATTAGTGTCCTGATGGGACACTGACAGTTCATCTCCTCAGCTCATGCTCCCCAGCACTGTACCATGCAATTGATGTTTTATAAATGATGTAAAGACTGTATGTACTATGAATGGGCAGAACAAGTGTCAAATCACACTTTAGGAACAACCAGACATTGCAGTGACCACAGTAGAAATTGAAACAGGCCTTGGGTGTACACATGGAAGAGCAAGAATGCATCTTGTGACACCAGGGAGAGAAACAAATTTTTCTTACACTCACAGGGAAAATCCCATTTTTCACTTACTTGTTCATTGACCCTTTTACAGAAGATGCCAAGCAGGAAGACAGCTGCAATAGGAGGCCCAAGGTAGCTAGAAATTGATTCTGTATAGTGGATCAGTTGTCCACCTTGAGATACTTCTACTATTGGGACCCACAAGATGCTGGTGACAATTAATACAGTGACAAACAGCCTATAAAAAATAATCCAGACATTAAACAAGAGCACCGTATTTGTTGATTTTTAAAAATGTATCCTTGTGCCATTCATTCACTCATTTTCAAAACACAACTAAGTTTCTTGACTTGATATGAACCCATACTGTAATCATCTGTTAATTCAATGTCAACAATACTTATCTAAACCTGTCATAAAGGCTTTACTTAAGATTAACACTTCCTAATACGTCAAATGTCAGATGTTGTTTATTCATTCTTTAATTCAATGTGTGTGTGTGTGTGTGTGTGTGTATGTGTGTGTGTATTAAAATAATACTATTTAGTTTTATTAATTGGTAGTTACTTGTATAATAAAGTAGAATCCAATTTTTATCTTTTTCTTAGCTAGAGAAAACTAAATGAGTTTTCATTAGTAAGGATTAAAACAGCCTCTATCTTTCTCAGAATGCTAGATGAATTGACAAAAAATAGTAGTTCATGTGTTCTCCTGTCAAAGTGTTGGTTAAAATGTTGACTGGAAGATCCTGGGATCCACAAAGAAGAACTACTTGGGGAAAGGTTTTTGTTTTTGTCTTTTAGGAGAATGAAGGTTAAGGAATCTGAAGAACACTGGACAAATGAGACAACTGAAGAAAAGGGACAGATCATCTATCCCAAGAAACAGAGTGAAA